GGACAGAAATCTTTCCCCCTCTTTGTTTCTATTCTATCATACTTCGCATCAAATTTATGACCAAATAAAGATATGACATAAGAATTTTATTTCAATATGGTATAGACCACACTGAAATAAAACTCTTATGTCATATCTTTATTTGACCATAAATTTGATGCAAAGTATAATAGCATAGAAACAATGGGAGAGAGCTTTTACCCAGAGGTATCAATAGCTTAATGAAAGAAAATTAACCATTTTTATATCAAAGTTATTTCAGGTAGTTGCTTATGTTGAGGATTGGCTTGTATAAATAGAATTGATTCAAGATGAAATGTACCACCAGTTTAGTTATTAGTTTCTAGCTAATTTGAATTAATATGGTTGTCTACGAAGAAACAATTTACAGAAAAAGTGCGATCGAATACACGTTGAGAGTGATTGTAGAATCTTTTGTGCTTGCTTCGAAAAGCACCTTGGCATCTTCATGCGAAAAGAGACACGTCCTCGGACATATGAGAGGAATTTCATAAGACATGTATCACTGTATGTACTCAGAGATACATTTTTTTCCAATTATGAATGAGATCTTGCATGATAAGAACGTCAAAATTTCTAGAAGAAAGTGCACAGACGAAGCAACGTATTAATTAATGGACAACGAGTTTTTATCGAAGATGTTCTTATTTCAGAAAGATCTCTTCATGTGTGACACGTTTGGAAGCGTACCATATTAATTAGGTCCTGTAATCGTTGAAACGAATATTTTCGCAAAGAAAATCTAACAATTTTTTTCACAGCATGCTGCAAAGGAGCATTAAAGTGATCTCGGAACACTTTTTTTTTACAAAGAAAATATTTTTTTTTTGCTAACTACTCTTTCCTATTAGCTTTTTCTCATGGACTGTCCAACTCAGAGCTGATATGCTGCTGAGACGATGAAAGCAAAATATTGTCCGTACTAAAAAAACGTAAATATTAACATATAAATAAATGCCAAAAAAATTAAAAAGCTTTAGAAATTATTAACAAAATCAAATTTCAGGAGTATCTTCTAAACTGTCTTTGGTTGCGTTTATCCAAGGGAGGTCTTCTAATATGTCGAGGGCTTTACACGTTCTCTTCATTTACAGCTTAACAACATCATCGTAATTTTTGGTTTTGATTAAGATCACGCTTCATGTCCCCTTCATCGGTTTCCGTTTGAGAATCTTACTACTTTAATCGTGTTACATCCTTTGTTTTGAATATGAGAGTGATGTCTTTCAAATAATCTCTGTATCCCACGTAGACGTGGTCCGTGCTCTCTGTGTGTTTCTGGTTTAAGTAGCGCGATTTCATACGTTCAGATAGCAAAAATATCTATACATCAATTTGTTCTTATTTTGCTTATCTATTAACAATCTTGAGTGTGTCTATTCCGAATTCGTTAGAGAACCAATAAGGCTCCAGGTTGACGGGAAAATGTCAAAAAGTAAATAATGAAGTCAAAAAATATCGGAAAAAATGAAGTCTCCTGGAAATGGCGACTCTAATCACTTATAGTTCATTTTTATTTATTTTTATAATGCTTCCAGACTAGATTTTTGTCCAGTAATGATTGTGATGAGAATTACTTGATAAAAAACTACTTAAAAGAGTTTCACGAGTAAATATCATATAACGAAAGTTCTATCGTTATGGCGGAAGTTCCTACATCTTCAACAGGTGTAACACCCACAAAATCTCTAGCTATTTCATTGATTAGTTCACATAAAGCTAAATTATCACGAATAGAAGGTGAATACTTTCTTTAAGATTGAATAAAATAACTCCTACTACTGAGTATTGAATGCACACAGTTAATGGATATTCGGTTTTGTGAAGGTTTAGGAGAAATACAAAAACAAGCGAAAACAATTGCTATTAAACATCGTAGAGTTAATCTTGGCGAATGATACTATGATGGTGTTAAAAATATTATAGAATAGTCAAATGGTTTGTCATTTACAGTTGCTAAACAGAAAAATGACATATTATCGATCTTACTGATTACTTATATTTGATCTCTGTCACAATGTTAACACTGATTTATGTTATAAAATATATCCTTTGCTATTAAGAATTCTCTAAAACATTTAACAATCGTTGTCATATGCATATAATTTTGCAATAGTTTTTTCTCAAAGACATTTTTCTCTTTCAACGTTTCGCCCTTCGTTCTTTCGACATTTTTCGTCTAAATCAAAGATCCTCTCCGGATTTATATATTTTTTCCTGAGAAAGTCACTCAGTTGTGAAAAAAAGTTGCAGCTACGAAATTTGATGATTCTAACATGATTTGACCCAACATACTCTAAGATTCTCACAATATTACCATTAAATTTCAACTACGATTTTGCCACGAATCCATGAGTGCCGTTGAAAAAGTGTGTAGCCAAGAAATTTTAGAATCGCCACAGAACTGAAAGCATGATTCTATCAGGATCCTAAAGAGTTTGTAACTATTGGAGAGCTGTTAATCTTTGAGCACACCTAGAGTGAATATGAATATAAGATAATCTTATGTTAAACGAAAGCCTTAGCTGCAACAAAAACTCTTATGTTAATAGTCCTTTCTGATGTGCGTAAGAGGTAGAGTGAATCCTTTCATGAAGTTCCTAACCTGTATCTGACGAAAACTTGACAGAATCTTGAGGAAATTGTCGTTCTTATTCTTCTAATGATCCTCAGAAGAAGCAGTACTAAATCCTGGAAGTACTATGTTTGAACAACTACGGAAAAGTCTGGGCGGGAATCTGACGAAGTCCTGTTAGGAGCTTGTCTAACCAAACTATTCCTCAGCAGCAACGCGAGTTATCAGGAGTTGAGGCAGGATCCTATGGAAAACTTGATGTAGGTCATTGCGGTTCTGGATCGTACAAGGACCTTGGAGGGTTTCTCAACAAATGGAGAAGGTTAATAACAGAGTCACTATTATTAGAACATACTATTTTGATTCTCAATCACATTATAATAATAGATGACTGCTAACGATTACTAAGACTAAATGTTGTGACACAATTAAGGAGTCCAAAGTTGAAAAGCTGCAGATCAGCTCCGGCTTGTTATAAAGGTAAGGTATGAAACAACAATGAGAGCAACGATTTTGTATACTGGTGAAGAACTAGCTCCCATATTGACTAAAGTCACAGTCGAGCTAGGAAAAATCAAGTAATGAGTCTTGAAGCGCCATGTAATATATTTCCTCAAAGCTGTTACCGGCAGGAAGTCACTACTCCTAGATATATAGCAAAGACTGGGAACAAATACTACACACGCCATGAGTATAGGCCAAGGGGGAAAACAGCGGTTTTGAAGTAGAAAAGTATGCCAAAGTACCTCAAAGTAAGCTACTTGAGTGGTTCAAAGTACCACCCAAATAGCTCAAAGTAGGAACAAGTAGCTTCAAGTAACTTGAAGTAGATATGAAGTTGAAAAGTACTTCAAAGTAAGCTACTTGAAGTAGCTCAAAGTAATTTCAAGTCTAAAAGTCCGCTGTTTCTCCCTTGGTATAGGCACAGACTACTACTAGATGACACGACGGGGACGATTGATTCACCTGCTCTATAGGTGCTGACGAGTTTTCCACACTTCCTTATGTTGTTCCCGCATCGTTGTCAATAATTCGTTATCAAATCTATGAAGAATTATCAGTAACCAAGTTATATACTTAATGAAGGCGAATGAGTACTACCACTATATAGTCTACGTTGACATGCAAACGCCAGTGTAATATGCTGCATGAATTGTTGTGCAGACTTCCCGTGATATAGTAGTTGATGAACACAGGGTACCCTCATTATATAGCAGTTGATGGCCAAATGGTATACCCTTTATATCGTGGATGATTGTCTATGGATGACCCCGTAACACAGTCCATGAAGGGTTATGGGTAATTTCAGAAATGTTTATTCACTTTTATTAATTTTCAAGAAAAATTTTGTTTTATGGGAGAACGTTTACTTTAACTTTGAATTTTTTAAAGTTAAAGTTTAAAGTGCTACTTTAAACTTTAGACCAGTCATCCTATTCCGTAATATTGAACATTCCGGAATCAGTTCCGCACCCAAAACCAGCTCCATCCAATTCCGGAAACTCAATCATCATTCCCAACAACAGACCTACTAATCACTGACCGAGTTCCGTCAATTCCCGGAATTCTCGAAACTTAGTCCAGACGGAATTACTCGAAATTCCCAGTAATTCCGGAACCAGAAGGAATTCCAGCCAATTCCTAGCAATTCCGGAATTGAGCGGAATTCCGTCAGATTCCGGAAACCCGGGAATTGAATGGAAATGGAATCTCCACCAATTCCGGAATAAGACGGAATTCCGTCCAATTTCGTGCGATTCCCTCTCGACTCAACTCCCAAAATTCCGTACTCCAATTACTTACTTATGCGAGAGGCTAATCTTCAGTCACAACGCCATGCGTGAGGATGAGGGCGGAAAATAATTCCGGTACGGAATTCCGGGAATTTGATGGAACTCGGTCAGTGACGAGTAGATCTGTTATATTGAATGATGATCGAGTTCCAGGAATTGAATGGAACGGGGTCCGGGGGCAGAACTAATTCCGGAATGTTCAACATCGCGAAATAGGATGTATTCTCCATTTACTTCTTTCTAAACGTATACTTGTGCATATACACAACAGCTTACTTACTATGTTAAAAAGAATATGACAATCAACATTATTACTAAAATTCTATTTATGAGTTTTCATTTTTTCTTTTCTTTGAAGGACAAGAGTGTATGCATAATATTCCTTTTCGTTCTCGCTCTCCCCTGCTTTTTGCATTATGTACGAAGGCTCCGCCAGTTTGTCATTATTATTTAGTCAGCAGTACTCTTGAAACAAACGAATGATTGAAATAAGAAGTCCTTGAAGTCTATAGCAACCAGCCAAAAAAAAGTGTCAACAGAAAGAATAAACTATTATATACAATTATATATAGGTGAGCGACGTGTTACTTATTGCATTCATTCATCGATCCATGATGGATAACCAAATATCGACAGCAACTGTTGCTAGTGGCCGAGCAACAATGACCACCACAGATAGTATTACTGTGCTACCGACACATCTTCATCGTATTCTACAAAATTTTCTTCTGATCTGGCTTGATGCGAATTTTAATGAATCTGAAGAAGATTTCAAGAAATCAATTCAACATCTACGACATATTGTGGCATCAATCAGGACGTTCACCGATGCTAACGAATGTGTCAATTTTCTCCGTAAAATTAAAGAAGAAAAAGCATTTATAATTGTATCTGGGTCATTGGGACAGCGTATAATACCAGAAATTCAAGCATTGCCACAATTGGATTCTGTTTATGTGTTTTGTGATGATAAATCGGTTCATGAACAGTGGGCCAAAACAATACCTAAGATAAAAGGTGTTTACACAGATATTAAAGCGATTTGTAAAGCATTACAAGCCGATCGTGAAGACTGTGATCGAGCCATGATCTCGCTCAGCTTTAATGGCATCGATCCGTTATTTATGTATACACAATTGTTGAAAGAAGTTCTATTGGAAATTAAAGATGATGATACAAAGTCTGTTAAAGAATTTGTTGATTTTTGTCGTTGTCAAGAAGAAGATATTGATGAAGAAGAAATCGATCAGTTCGAGCGCGAATATCGTAGTGATAAATCCATTTGGTGGTATACGGCTGAAACCTTTATTTACCCCATGCTCAATCGTAGTCTTCGACTGATGGAGGTTGACATTATACTAAAAATGGGTTTCTTTATTCAACAATTACATCAAGATATTGAAAATTTACATCGTGATCAACAATCCACCAACACGGCATCTATTGCTGTATTTGAAGTGTTTCGAGGTCAACGTTTATCACTCGAAGATTTTGACAAAGTTAAAAAAACAAAAGGTGGACTTATGTCATTCAACAACTTCCTGTCCACAAGTCGAAACTATAATAGAGCTCTTGAGTGGTTTGCACGACCAGCAGCACTCCGTGATCCCAGTTCAGTTGGCATACTCTTCGTTATGACCATAGATCGGACATTATGTGCACAATCATCAATTCCTTTTGCTGACGTGAAAAATGTGGGCGCCTTCAAAGATAAAGAAGAAGAAATTCTTTTTTCAACACACACAGTTTTTCGCATCGAAGATATTAAACGAATTCAAGATGATCAAACTGACCGGCTGTGGAAAGTCAATCTCACTCTTATAGGCAACAACAACCATGATCTAAACACGCTTACAGTAAGTATACGAGAAGAGCTCAAGTTGAAAGCAGCACAAGGTTTGTCTCGATTGGGTTTCATCCTTATTAAAATTGGCGAGTTTTCAAAAGCAGAACAGCTCTATCAGATCCTCCTCGAAAAAGCATCTTCTAATAAAGATCAAGCAGATTATAATCTTCTACTTGGCTCGGTGTATGATGACATGGGCGAGTACTTGAAAGCAATTTCATATTATGCACGAGCGCTTGAAATCCAAAAAAAATATCTTCCTTCGAATCATCGCGATTTGGCTCTTTCCTACAGCAATATTGGTTCGGTATATGCTAACATGGGTGAATACTCAACAGCACTTTCGTATTACGAAAAAGATCTGGAGATCAGTCGAAAGGCTCTCTCTTCACTTCATCCCTACTTGGCTATTTCCTACCACAACATTGGTAATGTGTATGCTACCATGGGCAAGTACTCAGAAGCACTTTCATTGTATAAACAAGCGCTTGATATCGATGAAAAAGCTCTTCCATTGACTCATCCTGACTTAGCTACTTCCTATATGAACATTGGTGCAGTATATGATAGGATGGGCGAATACTCGAAAGCACTTTCATATCACGAAAGATCACTGGAAATCAAGATAAAAGCTCTCCCTCCGAATCATCCTGACTTGGCATCTTTCTACAGCAACGTCGGTGTTGTATATTTTAATATGGGCGATTATTCACAATCACTTACATATTACGAAAAAGATCTGGAGATCAGTCAAAAGACTCTTTCTCAAACGCATCCACATATTGTAGAATTGAAAAAAAATATAGAAATGGTGAAAAACAGATTGTAATTTTTTTTAACTACTACAATAAATTGCCTTCCTTTTTGAATGTATGTCTAGATTACGCATGTGGATGTAGTGGTTATGAGTAGGTAAACCAAAACTCACAGTCGCAACCACAATTGACATCTAGGCGTAAAGCCAGATATATACTCACATGCACAACCACGCTTCATCGGCATTCACACCATAATTATTTGTACTTCTTGAACTCTTCTCTCTGTTGAATTATGAGGATGTGGATGTGAGTGTGGATGTGTGTGGTTGAAGTGACGATATACACCCCATTCCACTCATGCCAACACTAAAAACTATAGCCATATCGACCTCAGTCAGTTACTTAGGAAACCACAAAATTCCATCACTTTCGTGAATCCTGCGTCAAAAACTTGAAAAATATTGCATGTTTGATGATGAAACGGACGTAAATCTGGATTTTTTTCCATATTCATTGATTAAAAGCGACATTTTAATTTAAAAAAATGCAGTTACTTTGATTCTTAATGAAAATCCTGCAATAAATTCGGATTAAACATTAAAATCATTGCATGATTTTAGTTTTTAATCCAGCTCATTGCATAATTATAATGCCCTTTTTAATCAATGAATTTGAAAAAAACATCAAAGTTTATGTCTCTTTCATCATCAAAAATACAATTTTTTTCACATTTTTGACAAAACATTTACGAAGATCATGAGATTTTTTATTATATAAGTCACTGGGTCACATCCACACCTCGAATAACAGACGGAATTTAATATCTCTAAGTCTGCTTAATAAGTAACGACTCTGTTGAATTATTAAACTGTTTTCTGCCAAGGATGAGCACAAAATGCGATCGTTGAGCACTAAACTTAGTTGAACTTAATATTCATAAGAATAATCGAACAAGTAGCGTTCATCGTCAAGCGATTCACTTAGCCCTAGACTGATAGAATACATGTACGGATGTAATAGCATAAAAAGCTACATTAAAAAAGTAATACGCAAAATTGATAATATAACCAGTATATCTTAGGCGAGCAGAAAACTTAATTCGGAGAATTCTCACTCTAAATAAAGATAATGCATTTTACAAATTTAATTTTTTTTCTCGTTTTTGTTTTATTTTTTTTTGCTTTTATAAATATAAATAGCACTCAATAAGATTAGACAAGAATACGATTTTTTTTGTAATTATATTGGCGCTATTTGTACGTACAAAAATATGAATTATATTATTCATAAAATTTGAGTTTTATTAATCGATATTTTATGCTTCAATTCGCGCATTAATTCTAAACTATTAATAAATTAGATATTCATTGATACAACATTGCACAATCAATCCTACAATCATGAATAATTTAAACGATTTCTTTAAATCGATACTGCTCATTTGGTCTGACTCTCACTAATTAAATCCTTTTGTAAGCCGTTTTACACCACTACCCGAATTATAGTTATTCCATTGACATTTTACCCATGATTATTATGGGTTCATTTACATCAGTCTTTAGATGGTCATTTGTACCATAGTTACCGGAATAGTTGTTTGTCCCATGGTTGCTATATGGTCATTTGTGCCATGGTTGCTATATAGTCATCTGTGCCATAGTTACCGGAATAGTTGTTTGTACCATGGTTGCTATATGGTCACCTGTGCCATAGTTACCGGTATAGTTGTTTGTACCATGGTTGCTATATGGTCATCTGTGCCATAGTTACCGGAATAGTTGTTTGTGCCATGGTTGCTATATGGTCATCTGTGCCATAGTTACCGGAATAGTTGTTTGTCCCATGGTTGCTATATGGTCATTTGTGCCATAGTTACCGGAATAGTTGTTTGTACCATGGTTGCTATATGGTCACCTGTGCCATAGTTACCGGAATAGTTGTTTGTACCATGGTTGCTATATGGTCACCTGTGCCATAGTTACCGGTATAGTTGTTTGTACCATGGTTGCTATATGGTCATCTGTGCCATAGTTACCGGAATAGTTGTTTGTGCCATGGTTGCTATATGGTCATTTGTGCCATAGTTACCGGAATAGTTGTTTGTACCATGGTTGCTATATGGTCACCTGTGCCATAGTTACCGGAATAGTTGTTTGTACCATGGTTGCTATATGGTCATCTGTGCCATAGTTACGTGGTCGTTTGTACCAAAAAAATGACCGTTTGTGCCATAGTTACATGCTCATTTGTACCATAGTTACCTAGTTAATTTTAGTAAAAAATGGCCGTTTGTGCCAAGAAAATGGTCGCTTGTGCCAAAAAAATGGTCGTTTGTGCCAAAAAAATGGTCACATGTGCCAAAAAAATGGCCATTTTGACCGCGTTACCGACAGACAGACAGACAGACAGACAGACAGACAGACGGACAGACAGACAGACACAGGTGAATTTCGGTTTCTAGACCCTAGCCTTTCAGTCTAGGGAATATAACCATTGAAGAAGTAGTGGTTAATGCGTCCTCTACTCATTCTTATGCTCAATGACAGTTGCCATCAATTGTTGCTAGGACAACCTTAGAAATTTCATCAGCTAAAGAAGTTGCAAGGTTTGTCAAAATAGGATCTATGTTCAATAATGAAACTACTCTGTTGATATTAATGACGCGAATTTATTAGTGCAGGACATGAACATGCTTAGTCCCAATATGCCTGTATCAAACGAGTACAGTGTTCCTCGTAAGTGAAGTCATTTTGCAAGTCATGTAAAATTATTGTTTGAAAATGTTCGAATGGGAATTCGAATTCCGTCTAAAAACTACTGTGCCACTAGTCTCAAACAAACCTTAAAATGCAATAAATGTAGAGACTTGTGAGCTTGGAATTGTGGTATATATCTAAGTATTTTTATTTTCTCTTTTTTTCCTAAGCTTTCTCGAAAATTGATAGAATGAAGTGTCCTATGGTTAGCTCAACGATTCTCGCTACCATTCCAAACGCAATAGAAAAATGTTATGATAATTGGCAAGATGAAATTACTTTTTATCCGTAACAATAATGCGAAATTAAAATAACTATTCTTTTCTGGAAAGCAATTTTTTGATAGGTAGTAACTACGGTAAGGTAAAAAGCGATAATATGATGAAGCGTAATAGTTTTTCATCATGCAACAATGGAGAGATTTTTCTTTCTGTCTTATGTGCTATATTTTCTTTCAGTGGATCCAGAGCTTGATAAGGGTAGACATTATTGAGATTGCGTAGTGAAAAAGAGATCAATCGCAAGTATTTCTTGTGTTTCCAAGGTTATTTTTTTTAGGCTAAGGCTCTTTTAGCAAGAAATTGATCCTATTTTTTAATTCTTTCATTTTGATAGACTAGGCACAATCATGATCGCCAAAACCGAATGCTTCATCATACTTTTCTTCGACACGTAACCATTTCCAGTAAAATTAGAAACTTGTGACAACCTATTGTTCATTTAGAAATAGTCTCGATCTTTAAAGGTTTATTTCATGACACATGTTCAGCTTCAACAATATTCCCAAGAAAAGTTCGTCATAAGACAATATTATCATACATTCAAAAGAGTGTAAGTGTGAATGGAGTTTAGGGTGTAGGTCAAGAGAAGACAAAGTCTCACACCTACACTCCGAAGTCTCAACTGTTTCCCTTCACATCCACCCTTCCGAAAAATATTTATTGGTTAGTCTTGCTTTGGAAATTATATATTTGTTGGTATAAAAATATGAATTAGTAGAAATAATATATAGGAAGTGGCTGTAGTTCAAACATCTCGCCATATGACATATCAAAAAGTTAATTTATGTCTATTTTTTTAAATTGATGTTAATAGAAGATTGTAAAAAATTCAGTGATGTGTCTTTCAGAAAAAAATCAAGATTATATCCTTTTTCTATACTGAAGTAAATGCAATATAAATGTGTTGCAATCATTTGGGTATATCCGGTGTATTTGATGCATTTATTTCTATAGCCATGCTTAGAAGTCTCGAAGAAGAGATAAGAATAAGGCAAAAGCAGTGTTATTTAACGACCAAATACGACTAGTAAACAATGTGTCAAATAGTCTGATTACGATGATCATCTACTGCTGAGGCACACTCAAGCTCAAAGCTCTTTACGTGTGTAATGTAGGATAAGCGCTTGATAACGCTCTTTATCATTGCCGAAAAATGGCGTTGACAATAATTAGGTTCGTACTGTCTCGTAGATAATTGTTAACAGATATGATTTACTCGCATAGTAAAATGAACATTGTTATTCAACATAAATCACAATGCACAGTCTTTCATCATAGAAACTCTTTTAGCTAGATAGTATTATAGCAAGTTGGATATGGGTGTGAGCATTTTCTTCATTCTAGTCTACCTGCCCATGGTCGTCTCACAAAAGATGATCGGAATTGTGATCATGGTAGCTTTACTTACCCGGCTCACTCATTTAAATAGCTATTTATTATTGAATACATGTCAGAATAAGAATTTTTTTATATCTAGTATCCGCTTTATTTATGCTTGAATAGTTAATATTTATATACAAGAAAGGAAAGAAATATAAATGAGAGTAAGAAAAAGATATGGATACATAGTCGTATGTTAGTACAAAGTATAGTAAGTGCAAAGCTGGTTTGTTCGAGTGATAAATATGATGCCTCCACCAAAGTAGAAAAGAGAAATAAAAATAAATTAAAAAGGCAAAAGAAAAAATGTTAACAACTGATAAAGATATAACACAAAAGACAAATCAATATATGAAAAAGAATTAGTTGATGAGAGCTTGGATATTTAGCTAGAATAGTAATGTCAGAATTGGAAATCAGATGAGTTTTCTTGAATATGTTTCAGAAAAAAAAAATCACTGTCATAACTTATGAAAGGGTAAAAATTTCTTGATTAATAGTCATTTAGACGAGTTAAGTTTAATATTCAATATTTAATACTGGTTTGGCTATAGTTTGATTCGATATTATACTATAGCTACGTTTTTGGGAGCAACATTGGTTTGTTCCACAACAATGTGTTCCTGCTGGACAACAACCACGTGCACAACATACGGGATATGTTGCAGAACAACAAGTACTTTGATAAGGTGCCCGACAACATACTTTGTGTGTAGATGGACAACAACCTTGCTTACGAGGATTGGACTGAGGACAACAAACAGAACCGGGAAATATATCTGAACAGCAACTTCCAGCAGAACATAAACCATTAAATATATCGTATGAGTTGCATTCAGCAGTATGGGCATTGTATCCTGCCCATGCTCTATAACCTTGTCGTCCGAGAATAATTCTAGCACATTGAATATTTAAAGCATTATTTGATACTGCTTGTGAACAACTAAGGCGACATCCGCATCGACATGTACGTAATCTTGAACTTTTTCGACAGTTAGGAAAAGTTCCTGGACAGCAGCAATCATTTTGTTTTCCTGATGAACTACACCATGTATAACTATTAACTTGAAATAAGCCATTGTCTGTACTACCGTCTGGATTTCTATTCGGACCCTTACGTAAACCCCAAACACTTTCATAATAGGCTATTGCTGTCATAATATTTCTCTCTTTGCCAATAAAATTAGCATTTTTAAGTGCACCAGCAGTCTTGCAACAATTTCTATTGCTGCCACATTGCGGAATAAGTCCTGTTGATGAATAAACAATACTAAAGAGCAGCATTGTCATCATTGGAAAATTTAAAATAGCCAACATTTTCATATCAAAAACTGTCGAATGGTGTATATATATAGTGTGTTTATAATTAATATAAATTCGTGAGAACTAAAAAATGAAGATATAGATCACAACCATTCCTTAGCATATCAGAGATGAACATGTTACTTTCTCTTCTGTATAACACTCAATCAATTTTTAATTTGAATACAATTCGAAAAATTCTTTTTACATAGCAACTCTATTAAAAATAATTTCTAAAGGTTCGTATTTAATTGCAACAATATTTCATGTTCTTCTTCCATTTAGTCCATAAATTATAACTAAAGATGTTTCTATACAGGTTGATTAATATAGAACTCTATTGATGCTATAACAAAAGAGCAATGTTTCTTTGCTAAACTTCCCTATACTCGTGACATGACAACAAAATTATCTTTTTATTTTGGTCACAACATTTAATTGTTCTTTAAAAATAATTGTGTTCGTTGTTATGTTGAAGGTTTATGTTATA